TTATTGGATTAACTGTGGAAGAAAATGCATTTGGATTTACACGAGTGGATGTGTTGGCAGATGGGTCTATCAAAGATTAGGTGAACCATTAAATAGATAAGGGAAAAATTATACAGTAAGTAGTGTTGAGGTGTTTGTCAAGAGAAAGTAATTTATCTATGAAGGTATAAGAAAAGAGGTATGTGCTTTATTAAAGTTGTGTGCTACCAGTCTTTTTTGTATGGGTGTGAGGCATTTCAAGTTATTGCCACTGCAGTTTTAAGTTAGGCTTAAGTTTGCCTGAAATGCTCTGCATAACTGGGCTTTATGCATGTACAACTAAATGTCACCCATCTGTGTACAAACATTGTATCATGCTGAAATAAATTATTATTCATTGCAGTAAGGAGGCAATATCCTGTCTGACAGCATTGTGTGGTGTGAATATTATGCAAAAAATGTTGAGTAGGTATGTGTCAGTTTTGGTATTGCCATTATTGACTGATTTTGATGGTATCAGTATTGGTGTTGGCTGACTTAATGGTATTGTTATTGGTGCTGGTATCTGGGTATCAGCTAATTTTGATGGTTTTGGTGTTGGTCTAAAACTAAGTCTGTATCAGCTAAACTTTTAGCATCGTCCTATCCCTAATTCAGCATAGAAATTAGAAGAGACTTTGTTGTTATAAAAGATAATGTTCAGAAGGCAGATTTCATGTAGTTTTGGCATTTAAAGAAGATGGAGCAGAATGGGATGACAAAGGCAGTGTATATTCGAGGTGAAAGAAAGGTGGGGTAGGGTTTTAGGGTTGTGAAAGTGGTTATGTTAGGAGCATGAACATCCAGTAAGTGTGTGCATGTGCATTAGATTGAGGTAAATGGAGATTACTGGTTTTAGGGATTTAGCATGGCATGAAGAGGGTAACATTAATGAAGGAAATCAGGAAAGTTGGTGAGCTGAAGTTGAACCTGGAGGTGAGAAGTATAGTGACTATAATATGAAGGGAAGGGGTGGGGTTGATGCTACAATTTGGTGGAATATTTGAATTGTAATGTTTTTGCACTTCTGGCAAATCAGCTATTTTAATAACAAGTTAATTTGGATTGTGTCCATTGGTGACCCTGGGGAAAGTGTAGGCAAGCTTGTCATTACAATTAATTTTGAATATTGTTGTCAAAGTTTTAGATGTGGTGGGCAGTTCCATGTTTTTGGTGTCTTGTTTATACAGGTGCTTTACTTGCGAGTGTTAGGAATCTTTAATGTACTGTTACTGTTAGCTTGCAGGTTGTACACTTTTTTCTTGAGGGTTTAATTTTTAATCTTATCACTTGTTTCCCACCAATGCCTCCCAGCATAAATAAGCGGGATTACCAGTAGACCCCTGGCTATCTTCAAGAACGTGCTGGACAGGCACTTAGTACCTGATCAGCCGGGCTGTGGTTCATTTGTTGGTGTACATGTGGCCAGCGGTAACAGCCTGGTTGATCAGACCCTTATCCACCACTAGGCCTGGTTATGGACTGGACCGTGAGTGCGTTGATCCCTGAATCCCTTTGTAGGTATACTCCAGGTAAGGGAGGGTAACCCAAAGGAGGTAATACTTTCACCATTGTTCATTAAACTACTTGTCTTGCCAGTTGTAGGCAGACATGACAATGTACCTAATTGAAACATCCTCGTCCATCCTTCAGTGCAGTTACAATGGAACCTTGTCTTAGGAGTGTCCCAATGTATGAGTTTTTTGAGATACGAGCCGTCAATTGGTCGATTTTTTGCTGGGTTATGAGCCAGCTTCCCCCTCAACCCAAAACCTGGACATCTCTCTTGTTTATGATTTCATGCTTTAATTCCATGGAAATCATCCTCTTTTTCTTCTCAGCACTGTCCTTTACGTACGTATTATGTACATAGTACGTACGTAATAATTGAGATTGCTGCCGCTAGTTGGCACAGCTGATTCCAAAACATCCTGTAAGCAGTACACATGTTTACATAGCTGTGGGAGCAGTTCTCTCCTGCTTTGCTTACATTTTTGACAGTCATTTGGTCAAATTTTGCTTTTCTAACTGTGGGTCCTAAGAAAATAAGCGCAAAGGACAGTGCTGAGAAGAAAAAGATGATAATTTCCATGGAATTAAAGCATGAAATCATAGATAAACATAAGCAAGGTGCACGAGTTGTGGATTTAGCCAGACAATACCAGTGAAGTACATCTACTATATGTATGATACTAAAGCAGCAGGAGTCAATAAAGGCTATTTAATGACACTTGCCTAACTCATTTCTGAAACATACTGAAAGGGAGGCTGAAACAAACTACCTTGGACAGGTTTTTATTGAAATGCCCTGCAGAGGAAAGTGTGAAGAAATAGCCAAAAATCAGTGAAAAGTAAGAACAAGTGAAAGAAGTGAAAAGTTAAACAAAACAAATTGTATCAGTTACGTTCAGTGATTTAACAAAAGAAATTGTATCAGTTAAGTGATAAAACAAATATGAGTTAAGTTCAGTGATGAAACAAAACAATGTTGTCGTTGGAGGTTTACAGGGCCACTAACATCATACGCCACACTGCGAATCTGCCACCCTCAACTTCACCTACACTCAACCTCCTCCACACTCAACCTCCGCCACCATCTCTGCTCCAAGTGTGTAAGTGCATATACACTTCATATAAACAGTTTATTATTTCTTTACATTCTGTAGTGTATTATAATTTATTGTGTTTATATATGATATTTTAAGTGTTTTCCTTAGAAAACTAGTGATCTACTGCAGTTAGCCTCAAAAATACTCTGTTTTCTCTTACAATAAGAGTATGGGAAGATACTATATAGTGACAGTTGGACAGGAAATGGTGGATGCTTCCACCGCTGCCTCTGCCACTGTATTATGGCCTATTTTATTCATTCTAGAGTATATATCGTGTTTCTGTGTTAATTGTATTGTTATTATGTCATATTAGATGAATTGATAGATAAATAAGCCGTACAGTTGATAATAGTGTCATATTCAAGTATACATTTTCTCATCTCTCCAGAGTGCAGGAATGGATTAATGGCTTTTCAGTTAATTTAAATTAGGAAAATTAATTTAATGTACGTGTAAATTGAGTTAGGAGCTAGCTCCTGGAACGGATTAAACTCGCAAGTCAAGATTCCATTGTATTGTACTTCACACTTCAGGGCTCGAGTTTGTCTAACCTGGTTTTTCTGTGGCCCTTCATGTTGGTTAGCTTTCTAGTGTGTGTTGGTTACTCTGCTCATGTTTGTTGGTTACTCTGCTCATGTTTGTTGGTGACCCTGCTCATGTTTGTTGGTTACCCTGCTCATGTTTGTTGGTTACCCTGCTCATGTTTGTTGGTTACCCTGCTCATGTTTGTTGGTTACCCTGCTCATGTTTGTTGGTTACCCTGCTCATGTTTGTTGGTTACCCTGCTCATGTTTGTTGGTTACCCTGCTCATGTTTGTTGGTTACCCTGCTCATGTTTGTTGGTTACCCTGCTCATGTTTGTTGTCTACCCTGCTCATGTTTGTTGGTTACCCTGCTCATGTTTGTTGGTTACCCTGCTCATGTTAACTTTCTACATGTGTGCCTCCCATATTTTGTTATGGGTAATTCCATCTCTGATACACAATAAATTGAGATAGTTGTGTAGTGGGATACAATGTAAAACTTCTAAATATAGAGGTACAGTGGAACCTCAAAAATCAAATGTATCACATATCGAACGTTTCGAAAATAGGACCATTTTTTCGGACAAACTGTGTCCTTATTATCGAACGCGCCCCTATTTTCGGACAAACTGTGTCCTTATTATCGAACGCGCCCCTATTTTCGGACCGCCAGGTACAGGACCTGTCTGCCGCCCGCTCTGTCCGCGTCCCCGCGCAGGCGCCGTGAGCAGTCTAGCTTTGTTTATGCTTGAGTGAACACTAACCTGCGCTCTCATTCATGCATTTTACAATTATTTCGTTGTGTTTAGTGCTTGTGGGACTGTGAAATAAGCTGCCATGGGCCCAAAGAAACTTGCTAGTAGTACCCCTGTGGTAAAGAAAGTGAGAAACACCATAGATGTGAAGAAGGAAATAATAGAGAAGTATGAGAGTGGTGTGAGACTTGTTGAGCTTGCCAGGATGTATGGGAAAAACAAGTCGACCATTGGTTCTATCCTGTCAAAGAAGGAACAAATCAAGGAAGCTGATGTTGCGAAAGGTTTTAATATAGGGAGTGGATGAGGTGCCTTCTTCAAAGATTAAGGAGATATGTGCCAAGTGGAATGATGTCTAAATGTTTGTGCAGAAGTACTACCCTGAGCAAGCTGAAACAAGCCATCTTTGCAACAAGTTCAGTGACAGAACCATGTCCCATTTTAGGGAAATGTTAGAGGTGCCAGAAACGGAGGACTGTGGACAGTTATTTTGTGAGAGACAGGGGTCCAGTGACTCTCAAGCTGGTCCTAATGGCATTAAAAGACAGAGAAGGGAAGTAACCCCAGAGAGGGCTTTACCTGAAGTCCTTATGGAGGGGGATTCTCCTTCCAAACACTAACCCCAACTCCCTCTCTCCTCCTCCGTATCTTCCAGATGCCATCACCAATCTTCAATAAAGGTAAGTAAAAATGTTATTTTATATGTATTACTACTACACATAATTAAAAACGATAGTATTTATTGTATGTAAAACTGTAATTAATCTCTATAAAATGTATTTTTTGTGTGAATATTTTTGGGTTTCTGGAACGGATTAATTGTATTTCCATTATTTCTTATGGGAAATATTACTTCGAATTTCAGACTTTTCGAATTTAGAACTAGCTCCTGGAACGGATTAAGTTCAATTTTTGAGGTTCCTCTGTATTGTATGCATTAGTTTTATACTGGTGTTGAAGTGAGGAAGGGGAGGGGGGCACAAGCAGTTTAAATTTGTACTAATTTTCATAACCTCTGGTGTGGTTCATTTAGAACTTCATGTGAAAAATCATAAATCGAACCATTTCATGACTCGTATTTTTTGTTATAGATTGAGAACAGTTTTAAAGAACGCAACGAAGCTGAGGGCAAAGTGAGGAGTTTGGTATGCAAGTATGAAGCATTAATGAAGGACCAGATGAAGGAGAAAGAGAAACACTTAGAACTTCTAGCCAAGAAAGACATTGAAATAGAGCTGCTGAATGGTAGCTTGAATAAGCTAAATATGAAGGTGAGTGTGCCTCAGTTATTGGCACTGCTACTAGTCATTGTTTTGTTCTTCTAACAGGTTTGTCATCAATAATACATCAATGCTTAATCTATCAAAATAAATACAGCAAAGAAAATGTTGAATTTGCTCAAATGTGGGTGCTTAATCTGAATTGTAAAAACCTTGAAATATTTTATTTTACAACTTGGAAAAAAATGAAATTCCAAATTTATTTTATTCATTATATTTAGGGGCTAGTAACCCCTTCTCCTGTATATATTACTAAATTTGAAAGGAGAACTTCTGTTTTTCCTTTTGGGCCACCCTGCCTCAGTGGGATACGGCTGGTGTGTTGAAAGATTTACTATTATTCTCATATGCTTCTGGTAATGTCCATAAATCAGTTTTATATTTTGTGTGTTAACCCTTTCAGGGTCGAGAGGCCCTCTCCTAAACTTGTTCTCAGGGTCAGAAATTTTTCGGAAATTTTTTTTTTTATGAAATGATAGAGAATCTTTTCCCGATCATAATGACAACAAAAGTATGAAATTTGATGGAAAACTTATGGAATTATGCTCTCACGAAGTTAAAGGTCTCTCCGATGTTTACGCATCGGCGATTCCGCCCACTTTGAGCCCTATTTTTGGCCAATTCCTGTGTACCAGTCGACAAAAATCATATTTATTTTTCTAGAACTCAATTTTTTCTATCGAATGAGTACAAGAAACCACCCATTTATCAATTTCAACTATCCAATAAAGTGGTTAGAAATTGGCAATTTTGCCAATTAAACACAAATTTCAGAAGACGCCAATTTCCAAATAGGGTCCAGAATAAACAAGAAAGACATTCCTGACACTAAAATAACAAGTTCTCTGTTCGTTAGTCACGTCCCCAGGCCCCTCTTATATTTCTTTTGCTTTCCACTTTGAATTTTTATTCTTACAAAAAATAGAAGATTTACTGTTATGCAGACTACTGCATTAGTGTAGAAATGGTATAAATAACATCAGCCCACTTGTGAAAGAGTCTAATAGACTCACCAGTTGACGTGTATTGGACGCTTGGCATGATTTGTTTACTTTTGATCTTTGGTAAAAATCGAACATTTCTGCTACTTTGAGCTCAGTTGCAAGGTACTTTTAATTGTGAAACCAATCAAAATCATCTGAATTTCTGTAATATGTCTTTCATTCTTTAAAATGAGACCAAGAAAACTGAATACAACCATAAATATCATATGAAAATACAGTGCAAAGTCGCTGTTTTAGTCCAAAAACACGGTCAAATTTTTTTTTCTCATTACGCTGTGTGTGCTGCAGGATTTTTTTTTATACTGCTCACACTGACCACATAGACCCATTCTTTCATATGTAGACCTACCAGCTTTCTCTCGCTAGATTTGAAGGTGCTAGAATTTAGGCATACTAGTATGTCAATAACCTTGGTGCGTAAGCCGTACTAGTACGATGAAAACCCTGAAAGGGTTCAATCTAAGACTTGACCTTACTTAAGGGTGTATTTGGTAGGAATTCAAAATGAGTGCTAAAATATTTTGTCTTGGGAAAAGGGGGATAGGATGGGAAACAAATGTTTTTTCAACACACTGGTTGTCTTACTGAGGCAGGTGACCTAAATAAGACTGTCTAGTCACCATCATTTAAATAACTGCCTTGTCAGAAGTGTGCAAAAATCACAATTCAAATGACCCTCTGAAGTACAACATTGCCATCTCTCAAGAGTACTGGCTTGATAACTAGACTGGTGTTGCAAGGTTGAGTATTCATATCAGTCTATGAGACAGTCCTAGGTATTACAGCTCTGTTGGAAAAACTAGTTGTTCAACATTTTCTATTTCTGGTATGCTTAGCAGGCTAAATTTCCTCTCGAAATACATTAATCCTTGTTATTATTACCTTTAGCCCTTTGATGGTCCAAGCCCCCTAATCTGAAACTTGTCCAAAGGGTCTAAAAATCTCTCCCATCCCCATCATGAGGATTTATGTACAGTGGACCCTCGGCTAACGAACACATCACATAACGTTAAATCTGCCCAACGAAGTGTTTGAGCGTAAAAGTTTTGGCCTGGCTAACGATAAAAAACTCGCCCAACGTGAATCGTCCTGAGCCTGTCCATCCAGCCTGAGCGCCTCAGTTGCCCTGCCGTCATTGTTTACAAGCCAGGGTGGCCGGTTTCATGCATACATTCAATACATTTTGTATTATTCCATTATTTATAGTGCTTGTAACTGCTAAATAAGCCACCATGGGCCCAAAGAAAGCTTCTAGTGCCAGCCCTGTGGTAAAAAGGGTGAGAAATACTATCGAAATACTATTGTACCACGGTCAGCTGCTGCTGCTGCATCACCACCGTCAGCTGTTGCTGCACCACCATCAGCTGTACTACTCGAAGATGTGGAGAGACTGTTGTTGGTGTGGCTTAACGAGAAACAGTTACCAAGAAACAATTAACCCCAGAGGGTGAGCCACCCAGGATAGCCCTAGAAAGTCAGTGAGTCATTGAGGACTGTCTAACTTATTTCCATTGGGGCTCTTAATCTTGTCCCCCAGGATGCGACCCACACCAGTCGACTAACACCCAGGTGAACAGGAAAAAATGCATGGAACTAGTGCTCATATTGGTGAATTTAAGGCCAGCAAAGATTGGTTTGAGAGATTTAAGAATCGTAGTGGCATACACAGTGTCATAAGGCATGGCGAAACTGAATAATTCCAACCCAAACAAGTGTTCAATTGTGAGGAAACAGGCCTGTTCTGGAAGAAAATGCCAAACAGGACCTACATTACTCGGGAGGAAAAGGCACTCCCAGGACACAAGCCTATGAAAGACAGGCTAACTTTGTTTTGTTGTAATGCTAGTGGGGATTGCAAAGTGAAGCCTTTACTCATGTGTCACTCTGAAAATCCCAGTGTGTTCAAGAAAAAGTCTCATCACTCATCAGTACTCTTCAATAAAGGTAAGTGCCATTTTAACATTTATTTATATAGTTATTGTGCATGTCTCATTGTTTGTAGGGAAATGTACATTTCATGAAAAAAAAATTTTTTTTTTAATACTTTTGGCTGTCTGGAACGGATTAATTGGATTTCCATTATTTTTTATGGGGAAAATTAATTGGGCTAAAGATAATTTCGTCTAATGATGAGCTCTCAGGAACGGATTAATATTGTTAGCCGAGGGTCCACTCTATTATTTTTTTTTTTATTAAAAAATCTGCAGTTGCTCACCAAGGCAGGGTGACCCAAAACAGAAGAAACACTGATCATCCTTCATTACATCACTGTAGCCTACTCTATAGTTATAAAACTGCAATATCAACACCCCTCCTTCAGAGAACAGGCACTGTGCTTACCACCTCCAGGACTCTAGTCTGATTTGCTGTTTTCCCTGAATCCCTTCATAAATGTTACTTTGCTCACTCCAAAATCATGTCAAGTCATAAAAACCATTCGTTTTCACTCGTTCCTATCTAACACACTCAGGTACGCTTGCTGAAAGTCCAAGCCCCTTGCACACAAAACTGTCTTTACCCCTTTCCCCATACTTTTCCTAGACCCTTTCCCTGCCTTCCTTCCACTACAGATTTATATGCTCTGTCATTCTATTTTGTTCTATCATCTCTAAACATATGAGCCACTTCAACATTCCCTCCTCAGCCCTTGGGATAATACTTTTAGTATCCCCACACCTCCTAATTACCAGACTACAAATTCTCTGCATTACATTCACACTTCACATTGCCCTCAGACATGACATCTCCACTGTCTCCAGCCTTGATGTTGCAACATTCACCACCTATGCTTCACACCCATATAAGAGCATTAGTCTAACTATAATCTCATGCATTGTCCCTCTTTGCATCCATGGATAATGTTGTCTCCACGGACTCCTCAGTGAACCACTCGCCTGTTTTCCCTGATCAGTTCTATGATCCACCTCGTCTTTCGTAGACCCAACTGCTGACGACCCCACTTCCAGATATCTGAATACATTCACTTCCTCTATACTCCCTCCCTCCAATCTGATATCCAATTTATCATTACCTAAGTTTTTTGTTATCCTCATCACCTTAGTCTTTCCTGCTTTCACTTTTAATTACCTTTCTTTTACATGCTCTTCCATACTCATCCACCAACCTCTGCAGAATCTCTCAAAAGCAGTGTATTCAGCAAAACGCAACTGTGATAACTCCCATTTTGTGTTAAATTCTTTATTTTTTAATCCCACACTTCTTGCCAACACTTGCAACCCCATTTATAAATATATTGAATAACCATGGTGATACGACACATCCCTGTCTCAGGCCTACATGTACTGGGAAATAATCTCCATCCTACATGCTCTAACCTGAGCCTCATTATCCTCATAAATAGTGTTAACTGCTTCGTTAACCTACCCCCTATTCCATATTTTTGCAACATCTGCCACATTGACACCCTATCCACCCTGTCTTTTTTTTTTTTTTTCCAAACAAGTCTTCTGTCTCCTACTGAGGCAGGGGGACCCAAAAAGAAAGAAAAAAAATCCCCCAAAAGAAAATACTTACATCATTCGACACTTTCACCTCGCCCATACACAATCACTCTTTGCAGAGGCGCTCAGATGCAACAGTTTAGAAGTCCCTCCAAACTGTCAATATCCCATACCCCTCCTTTAAAGTGCAGGCATTGTATTTCCCATTTCCAGGACTTAAGTCCGGCTAACCGGTTTCCCTAAATCCCTTCACTAAATATTACCCTGCTCACACTCCACCAGCTTGTGAAGTCCCTAAAACCATTTGTCTCCATTCACTATCCTAACACGCTCACACACGCTTGCTGGAAGTCCAAGCCTCTCGCCCACAAAACCTCCTTAACCCCTTCCCTCCAACCTTTTCGAGGACGACCCCTACCCCTCCTTCCTTTCCCTACAGATTTATACGCTCTCCAAGTCATCCAGTCTCTCTAAATGATCAAACAACCTCAACCCTTCTTCAGCCCTCTGACTAATATTTTTAGTA